TTTTCCTTCTCTTCTTTTTTTTTTTTTTTTTGTTCTTTATCGGAACGATGACATATTCCTTTCAAAAACTTCACCGCTGCTCTCTAGAATCGAGAGGTAGGTCGAAATGGAAGGAGTAACAATCGCGCGAGTTTTCAAAATCGCATGCGAACTCCTTCGGGGTAGATATTGTTCCCGACACACCGTAATCCGTCCTACTTTCGTCCCAAGATTCCACAAACGTAATCAGACTTTTCGAGTTGTGGAGAACGTCCGCAGCTGGGCAAATAAGCGAATGATCGATAACGAACCAGCCACGAGAATCGTATTTCGTTGCGAACGTCGTGGCCCCTCTCGGATGTATCAGAATGATCGAGAAACTTCGAGTTTCCATTCGTTTAGTTGCCCGAAGCGTGACGTGCCTTTTCCTCGGTTCACCTTGCCGTTGTCTAACTCTCTTCCTGATTTTTCTCCTTTTCTATTCCACAAAACGACCCACATTTTCCTGCCAGTTGTCGGTCCGAATGCAGCGCTTGCAGGCAACGGTATCTCCGGTGTGACACTATGCAGATTAAAATCCGATAAAAAAAAAAGAGAGCGACGGAGGGTGGACGAGAGTGAGAGAGAAAGAGGGGCCCCAGGGACTTTGACAAATCGTCGAAAAATGCGAGCGCGAAACAGCAGGGGGGCGGTACCCAGAGGTCGATGTTCTTCTTTTTTAACCTGTATATAACGGGTCCACCCTCTTCTTTCCTCTTCGGGTTGGCTCGAGTGCCAAACTCCACCTGTCTCGCATTGTTGTCTCTCTCTCTCTCTCTCTCTCGAGTCTCGCTTGCCCCTATATAGGTCGTTTCAGATTCGTTTATCCGTTTTAGGAGTCAGGCAATCGCGAGTCGGTATTTTGCGATCGTTGACAATGGTAGGCGTTAGATGTTCGAGCGTTCGGAGGGGTGGAAAAATATCCAAGTTTTCGAATGGGTGAATCTCGGTGGAGGAAGTTGTAGGAATTCATAATCTTTGGACAAGTTGGCGAACCCGGTCAACTTACGGTTAGAATACAAGTTAATAATTCCCACGGGATCTATAGCGATTATCGAACTTTTCCAGATCTTGTTCCGAGCGTATGAACCTATTAAAACAATTCGCAATTTGTGAAAAAAAAGAACAGAAAAGGAATCTCTGTGGTGAATAAAATACGTCGAACGTTAGATTTATTATTCATAGATCCGTGCAACGTTGATCCAAGTAACGTAACGTGTTTGTTTAAAAAAAAAACGAGTGGAAATTGAGACAACCCGAAACATTTACATATTTGCCAAGGTAAAAACACATGAAAATTAAAAATTCAAAGACAAACCATCAAGGATTATTATAAATTAAACGAGAATCATCTCCATTGCCGAATGGTTGAGGTTTTCTCGTTTGAACGAGCCGGTACCTATGCGACCGTGCACACGCTTTTCATCCACGCCTAACCCATTTTTTATCCGGATCCATATTTACTACCCTGGTCTCGTGAGCCCCTCCAACGCTCCGGCCGGCTCGTTTCCCCTGTCCGCGAAGCGCATCACTTACGACCACAGTCGGAGGATCAAAGTGTCGTTAGCGGGTTTGAAAAAAAGAGGCTGCCATCGTCTATGAGCTACGTTGGGGCGAATAGAATTATCAGGAAACTTCGTTGCGCGATCCTAGGTAAAAGCGCCTTTCGAGCGAGCACACCGCTTCAAAGCGGACCCTGACTGGTTCGAGATTCAACGACTTTCATGAAAATCCTTCGTAACCACGCGAAATTTTGAGCGTGTACAGACTTTGCAAGCACTTCGAGTCCGCAAACAACAGGACGTTGGTGTATCCTTTCTGGTCGGTCCACGAAATCTACGCGGAACAAAGTAGAAATTTGAAAGTTCGTAGCACTCGAGTTCCAAGTATCCTCTTCGCTTAAATATATCCCCGTAAATGATAAATTTACGTCGAGAAATCTTCAGTTCAGGGTATCCGAATACGCGTAAAGATAGCCAGCAAAGATATTCGGAACCTTTCTCGGTTCTGCCTCGGTTTCCCATTTACCTTGGGCTCGACGCGAAACATAGACGCCTTAGACGAATAGACCGCACAAGCCACGAGATACCAGTCGCGTTAATGGAAAGCAAAGCGTTGGAAACGCGACAGAGAACCGGAGCTATCCCACAGCGGAGGCCATGTTTCGGTCCCGAGCAGCGGAACCGATGTCGCGCAATAATCTGCAACGATCTGCATAACGATCCTCGATAAATATCCGGCAACGAGAACCATTATCACGTCGCAGAAACTTCGCTATCCATTCGGTTGTCGGTGTATTAACGAGACACAGGGCTGATTGCACAATAGAATCCGGCAAAGTGCTCTCGATTTCTTTTCCATCGTAAACGAGGTTCAGCGGCCCCGGCTCGGAATTAGCAGAACCATCGGCCCGGTGTTTCGTTCCGTCTCTTATGTCGTCGTTTCTCTCGTTCCTATCGTCATTCCGCCGTTTGCACAACGAACGAAAGTCGTTAAGTTCTTCCCCGAGAATTGTTCCGGCAACTACGCCTTGCTATCCGCTTCTCACCCCCTTCGTTGTCCACCTTCTCGTCATCTTCGAGCTTTTAATTACCGATCGGCATTCTAATTAATGAATGGATTCGCCCGGGGCACCGGGCAAATCGTTATCGATCGTGCGAAACAACGGCTATTAGGAGGTCGCTGAGGACGAAGACAACGACGGCCAGGAGGAGAAGACAGCGGAGGACCCCGGACGAGGAGCACTACCGAAGAAAACGGAGAAAGGGGAATGGCATCTTCCAATGTTCTTTGAGAATTGTACTTACTTTCTTTGTACTGGAGAACGTTCGAGTGCTTCTCGTGAATGACGACGCAACGGTAGCAGGATTTTCTGTAACAGAACGGAAACGGGGTTTTCTCTTATTCAAGCCTTTCATTCGATATCGCTCGCTGGAATTAGAACGCTTTCCCCTATTCCCGATTCTTTTCTCCCTCCCCACGCCCCTTCCACCGCCCGTTATTCCTTGTTTTCTCTTTCGTTTCTCGTTAGGCGACGACGCGAACTCATCCTCGAGATTAACGGAGGACTCGGCCATCTTAATGAGAACCGCCTCGACGAGCTTCGAAATTCGCGAGATCGAACCGAACGATCGACCGAATTAACGCGGACCTCGTGGCCAACGAAATCTCTTTATCGTGTGTGCGTACTGTTTTCTGGAAAATCCGATTCGTGTAATCGCGTATCGTAACAAGAACTTTTTATAGGAAATTAACCGCGCCCCTTTTTAACGGCGTAAGCTATAGGAAAAGTTTTTATTTCGTACTGTCTTCGATTAGAAAAATTCATTCGATAACCGTTCTTCCGCGCCGTGTAACTTTTATTAAAGAAATTTCCTTCAGGATTCCAACTTTTGCGGTTGCTCTTACGATACCTGCAGGACTATCTCTTTTACGACAGGTTTTACTTCTTTCGCTGTCGTTAACCATTCCCCTACTTTCAAAAAAAGGTATGTTCCATACATACGAATAAAGTGCCACAAAATTTTTCTTTTTTATATCTTGGAAAAACTAACATTTAATTTGATATCTAGGTCAAAAGTACGATACTACAAGTTTTCCTGATTTTTATCTTAATTATTGGTTGAAACGACGTGTTCTGACATAAGATAGCTAAAAGACGGAACAATTTGTCCGATCTGCCCCAAAAAATAGAAGCCTTTTAACATTAGATGGCAAGTTTATGAAGTTTCGCGAAGAAACTAGGGTCGCACGTAATACCAGTAGGTTGTCGATCAATCTCTATCTCAACTAATCTTTACCAAAACCATTCCTCTCTCATAAATTTTATCATGATGTTAAAAAATCGCTCGTCCTAATGCTCGTACCTCTACTAAAGCTTCACAAAGCTTGGTCAACTTGTCGGCTATTCTTAAAACACTCGTACGCTTGAATCTAACAAGTCGCTTTCATTTTCAACTACGTCGTGTAAAGATACTACGGTACTTCTTGGTCATAAAGTAACATGAAAATCAGAAAATCGCAGACGTATTTATCATATTTCTCTTCCATGTCTTTCCTCCGTGCTCTTCGTACTCGAATCGAAATGAAACCGCGATTGCCGTTTAAACTTCACCGGATCAACCGGAAACCACGATACCTCAGTGCCAGTGCCATTTCCGCGTTTTTTTTATCTCGCTCGACGCTATATCGATCGGACACTTTGCAGGCGAACCCGATAGAAATCTCTACGAAAACTTCGGTCAGCTCGTGTGACACGAACATTACGCGGCGAATCGACGCGGTTCCCTCTTTCCTCCGCTCGCGTGTACCTCTCTTGCGAAGAAACAACTGCAACCCCCTCTGGTAATACCGCTTTTAATCCCCTTCTGACTCGGGGGCGAAACTCGCTTCCAATCGTATTGCCTGGAATCTGTACGTCGCGTCGCGTCGCCTCTTTCCAACGAGTTGACATTCCACGAAACTTTCGTTTCTGGATTTAACTTTTCGTTTCGTTTCGTTTCGTGATTTTCGACGAGATTCGGAGGATGATTGGCCTTCCGCGTTCCGAATTTGCCTTTGACGTGATCCAATACCAGGAAACGTTATCGTTTCTAGTACTAGGATGTTATTGCGCAAGCAGAGCAGCGTTAATAATGAAATTTTTATAATAATATATAATTATAGATCAAAAATAAGTTAGAATAGAAGCTTGACTATCCGTCCTAATCGTAGCACACGCTGTTCGAGTGAATGAGGCCATTGAACTATTTTATAAAAATTAATATCGAACAGGAAGTACAAGGATGTTTTAATAAAAATGCAACAATTTAGAAAGATAGAAGAGTACAACTAATAATCTCCAAGTTCTTAATGTATCGTGTAATAATATTAATCGTGAAATTATTGCACGAGAGAGTTTAGATATCGTGAAACCAATACGTTTTACAAGGTACATACAAAGAAAAGCAGAGTGTGTACTCACTGATCAACCAGGAGAAACTTGTCGCCCTCGTTGTGCAGGCACCTACCCTTGCTGGACAATTCATTCCTGGAGATCACGATCGGCTGTCTGACTCCGCTTTGAAACCAGGTGCCTTCCCATTTCAGTGGAAACGTGCATTCTGAAACAAATATCGCAAACATCCACGTGAACAGACTCGATCGGTCGACGCCATCTGCGAAAAATGTCGTATCGCGGCGTGTCCATTTCTGGACGCAATCTTCGTTCGAAGCCGCGTCGCCGTCGAACGCGATACGTTCTCCTTGCCGAACGAAGAAGAGACAACGTGATATTCTCGTGAAAGTAATATGAGACAAATCGCGGCGATGTTCGAAGACAAAAGGGCCAAGAACCGTGGAGATGGCGATGATACGCCGACGAAAGTAAGGGTTGAACGGAGCGCGGTAACGGGAAGGGCGCATAACCATGGCGCCGAGATGGGAATTCCCCGGGCGGGATAATCCTAGGGGCGAAGCGAATTTCCGGAAACTACAGCCATAGCACGGAAGGGATACATCCAGCCGAGTTATCGACGATAATCGAAACCCGGCGATGTCCCTCGTGCATCGTTCCTTTCTCTCCGCGCGACCAACCCCTCGATGAACACCTGACCGTGCACACGCAGCGAAAGCGATCCATTTTTGCGACAATGCGACGTATCGCTTTCTTTCCTTCGACCGACAGATTCGTTCTCCTAAGTGCGCAATTAGTTTATTGGATTACAGCTGGTCGAATAATTCTCGATAGGGGAAGGCCACACGGCAAAAACATTATAGGGAAAAGTAACAGAATTATTCGAGTCAAGCTAACTCCAATTGATTTTTTTTCTAATTCGTTAAATTGCATTACGAACAACCTTTAAACGATCCATATTTGAAAACAGATTAACCGACTCAATGGCCTCAATGGCGTAAAAATCGTGTAAAATATCATTGACAGCTCGATAGCCATAGTTTTTCTACGGAAAAGAGGCAGGGAAGTTCGTTCGATCCACGTTATAACGTCTCTTAGAATATAATGTCTCTTAGAAGAAATCGATAGTATCAATTTAATTGTTATTTTAGTCCAACTTCATTGAAATTAATACCCGCAAACGAACAAAAAACAGTTAACATTGTTTGATCGTTGGAGAAGGGGCGTATAGGCACGAAACTGGTTGCAACATATACAATTTTAAAATCGCTATTCTACGACAGACAAGAAGTGTGATTTATCGTGCTGTTCACCCCTTCGTATACTAAGAAGAGAACGCATATAGAAAGCATAGCAGCTACGTATGTAATCCTATTTCCAATTTCCACCTGGTAATTCCAGAGTCGAATGCAATTTGTAAATCGCACGGTATAATACGATAGTTCCACTTGCTACTTCAAGCGGCTAACAATAAGAAAGAAAGAATGAGATTGTAGAGCAGTGTCGCGTGACCGAATGACGTCTGGCAAAAAGTAGACAAGTCTCGACAACTGATAAATAAGTCAATCCTTCTTACTCGTTGAACCTCGCTTTGGCTCTCTCTCTCTCTCTCTCTCTCTCTCTCCTCTCTCTCTAGGAGAAACACAACGGTGCAATTGCCGTGATGGTAAAAAGGAAACGACAGGGTAAATAAACAAAACGTAGACGGGCTTTTCGTTGCGCGATTCTTAATGAGGGGTTAATTAAATCTCATTCCGGGCCTGAACGAGGGAGAGCGGGAAAAATATTATTCCAGGGAGGGTCGCGGAACGAAAGTAACAGGCGAGGTACAAGCGACGTTTTCCAGTCGTGTCTTTAAGTAAAAGCTTCGTAAATAAAAGCTGTTATTGTCGTCTCCCGTCAGCGTGTCGGAATGTTGATTCATCTAATTGTGGCAATCGTTTTCGCGTCTCTGTTAAGATCGAGCCTGGCACGCTCGGAACGAACAGCGTCACATCGGAGAGAAAATAATCGAATTGGATTCTTCTTTGACGACACGCCTCTTCCTATCGTTGTTCCCTTCTCTCTTTCTCCTTTCCTTCCTCTTTTCTACCCGTGTGCCATTTTTTGCTCTTAATAGGACGTTTCGCGACGCGTCTTCGGTCGATAGAACAGATGTCTGCCCGCTTTTAATGTGGAATAAAAAAATTTATTCTCCCCGGAGAGCAGCCACTTTCCCCGGAGGGTTTGATAGAATAATAAAGCGCGAAGGAAGCGTTTTAAGAGTTCCCGCTGTTACACTTATCTCGAAGGGGACGCTCGCTGATATTGACGCCTGTCATTTTCCAAAGTTTTTTCACCGACGCGTTCCTTGGAAAACACACTTCCAGCCTTTCGTTACATCCACAGAGTGTCAAATCGTGTTTCTTCTGGCGAAAGAAAAACAATTTCCCCCTCGATATATGAAACGCTGTATGAAATGCTCGTGCACATGAAAAATTGAATTCAATTCCCGGAAGAGGGGTGGAACGGACGCATTCGTTAACGGGGATCCTCTGTTTTCTCATTCAAGAAGTTAACTATCACCCTTAAATAAAGAACGATGGTGTGCCCGTAACTCAGCGACCGCAAAGTGTCGTACTTCTTCGGCTGTCACCGTTTCCTCGGCCAAAGAATTAAACCGTAAAGAAAAACGAAAAGCTGGCTGCCGACATTTACGTGCAATCCCAAGTTCTTATCGCTAACAGTATCGGCGAGGCGCGGCAACACGGCAAATAGAGAACGAGAGAGAAAGGGATCGTAGGAGATTCGATTTCGCGACAGGATGGGTAGAAAAGAGCCACCGCGAAACATTCGACCGTTTTTTTCCCCTCTCGTTCCATTCCGATGCTCTGGTAGCTGGTCGGTCTCGCCCCTTCTACCCTAGGGGCGAGATTCTCCATCGCGACTGGGCCGCTGCGCCGCGCTGGTGCGAACTGTGATTACGGATTTCGAGTCTCGCCCGCGGATTTTACGAGCCCGCCGTGAA